GATTTAGGTCCGGCTAGTGGCTTAGGATAGCGCCAGTAACCATTGGTTACTGACATATGAGTAACTAAATTTGAACCTTTAGATCTAACTGGGTCTAGAAAATCCAGATCTGATGGTTGTCAATTAAAGACATTTTATTTTACCTAATTTTCATAATCGTCTCTTATCTTTTTCGCTTTAACTCGGATTTCAAATTTTTTTTTTTTTTGCACACATGGAACGAGTTCGTTGTGCTCTACAAAATGAGATCAATTTTCAATATATTTCGATAAACTTTTTTTTTTTACCAATTACATATCATATGATAACTTCTTCATTTTTAAGTTATTTCTGAAAACGTTTGCTTAGAAGGAACGGGTTCATCATGATCTATTGGATCTTCAAATTTATGGGTGAAAAAAATATTGGACCAAATATTATCATACTTTACCACCATGGTATGTGGGTGGTAACTTGTGTTAAACAATGATGAAAGTCGTAAATGACAGTTAGTATACTCGTACTATCATGTATTCAACCTTCTTACCATATTGGTATGTTCATACCTTCATGGTACGCTTTCTTACCATATGGTAATGACTGATAAAAAATTATTCAATTTTTTTGTACTAAAAATATATCAAAGTGGATGTCATTTTAAAGAGCACATTTAATCTGATTTATCTGTGCAAATTTTTTTTTTTACTTAAAACGAGAGAGAAATCGTCCGTTAAAGATTAAAGAGGAAAATATAAAAGACTTTCAAGGAGAGAGAGGATGCTGATGTCATGCGGATGTAGACAGGTTACTGATGGTTACTCACCATAAGGGTTAAAGACCTGATCCGCTCCCCGGCTAGCTAGCGTAGAAGTATTATGCAACAAAAGGGGTAATCCATTTTAGTCAATTTCACGCGTAACTTTCTGAATTTTGACCAAGTTTAGACTTTGGGTAGCTCAATTTTCAATTTTGGGATTTTTTTTTTTTGTGCAATTGTGATGTTTGGGGGACAATGAGTGGGTTGGATTGGTTTTGGTTTACGAAACCACTTTGACCCTGACCAAGTGAGTAAAACAGGTCGCACGCGCCTGTCGGGTTGACCGCTACAAGATATCAAGTTGGAGGTCAAATTGTGTCTTTTTTTTTTTACGAAATGCACCCATTTTTCGATTTTTTCTTTTCGCCTAAATCAATCTTTGGAATTTTTAGTTGAACATTTGAATATTGATGTTATATAAGTGTGTTTCAATTTTCACTATATGTTGGATCTAAGTACGACATGATACTTTGGTGTTATGTTATATGTTATTACTCATATGTTAGATGAGATTTGATATAATTTATCAGGATAAGTACAATATAATGACTATTTCCATATTTCCGGACTAAAGCGGGCTAAAACGGTTGACCCGTTAACCCTTAACCCACTAGTTTGACTGGATCCGGGTCAACCCGCGGGTTGACAACCTTGTTAAACAAGCTTTTTATAGTTATAATCCTCGAGTTGCAGGTATTTATGTTTTTTAAAAGACCATTTTTGCCTTAAAACTCATATTCCCCCCTCTGGGTGTGATGAGCAGGAAGTAAGAAAGAAACATGATGATTCACTTTTACACAGAGTGAGAGAAGTTCTGGGAGGTAAGCTACGGCTAATTATCATAAATGGTCACAAAACTATTCACTTTGTACAAAACGGTCACAAACATTTAATTTTGCACATTTCAGTAACATATCTTTGGACTAATAACAAAAAGGTAATTCCATCCATCTCCATCCAAAAAACCGTTACTTTCATCTAGTCAGCATGCCATGTCATTTATGATATTAATAAAAAAATTAATGACCAAACCAAATTGAACTATAGCCCAACCGAAAACCCTAATTCTATACCAATCAACCCGAATACAACAACTTCAGGGAGGTGGCGCCTAGATTAGCAAGCTGTTGTTCGTGGAAGAGGAGGTCGTCGTTGGGATTTTTAGGGTCCCACCGATTGAGACCGCAATCGCCGGGACAACGCCGATCCCTGGCCTGCTCCGCGCGCTCGAGCAACCACCACACGGTTTCCCCGTCCGACAAACAAGGACATCTGCATAGCGACCGGGACCATCCCCATGGCGGTAGAGGGCGGGGTTTCCCGGTCCGGATCTATTGGCTCCTCTTTCAATGACCAAACCTGGTAAGCTTCGGATTTGTCGATTGTAGATATCATGGACACCTCGCCGCCATTATCCGTCTTCTTCTTCGGTCCTTCAAATTATTCCCATTCCGGGACAAAACTCAATTCGCTGAAATTAACAGGAAAAGTGAGACTAGAGGGGGATTTCGGACTGTGCGGGCTAGTAGATGGGGAGATGAGGGCCAAGCTTGCGTCTGTTGGGGGAAATGGTCGGTTGGATTGGGGCATGGTTGGAGTGGGGTACAGGACGTCGGGGTCGATGGTGTGGTGTGGCGGTAGACGACGACAAAGAAGCAGGGGAGCTGAAAGTTTATTCTCCCCCAAAAAAGAGCACGATATGTAACCAAGTGAAGGGTGGGTGGGTTACTGGTTGGTTCTGGGTCAAATGGGGTTGGTTATTGATTTTTTATTAATATTTTAAGTGACGTGGCATGCTGACTGGACAGAATTAACGGGTTTTTTGGATGGAGATGGACGGAATGACCTTTTAGTTATTCGTCTAAACGTTTATTATTGAAACGTACAAAATTAAAGGTTTGTGACCGTTTTGTACAAAGTGAATAGGTTTGTGACCTTTTGTGCAAATTACCCGGTAAGCTACACTAAGGGGTGGTTTGATTCAAGGATTTGTATCATGGATTTGGTGCAAAAAACCAATCATCATGGATTTACACACAATCCGTTGTTTGCTTTATCAAAAAAATATTTAGATAAATTAGTGGGCCCCACGGATTTGGGGGGTTTTTTTTTTGCTCCAAATCCATGTGCCCCACGGTTTTATAAATCCCACCTCATACCCTGGAATTTGGAGACAAGCTGAAAAACCATCAAATCCATTATAAAAATAGCTCAACAAACAAAAGATTTCCTCAAATCCATAATGGCCAAAATCCCTAATAAATTCCAAGGTTTTTAATTAGTAAATCCATGCCAAATCCTCGTTATAAAATCCTTGAAGCAAACTACCCCTAAATACAACAACCAAGTGGCGAAGTAAGAAGTTTGGAGAGGGAGGCAAATTTAAACCATAATAATTGGAGGGAGGGTTAAAGCCTTGATGAATACTTGATTTCTTAAATTTGTTCAAATTTTACACGTAATTCACTGATATATCAAAGTCGAAAGGGTTATAATCACTCCTAACTTCAACAATGAGCTAAGTCGAGTTTTGCATACCATAGGCTCGACTTGATAATAAACGAGTCAAGTTCAAGCCCGATTCGTTTATGAACGAGATGGGTCGAGTTGAACTCCAGTCTGGCTTATTAGTATCATATTGTTTAGTTAATAAACTTTAACTAATTCGTATCACATTATTTCATAGTAATTAGTATATAAAGCAAGGTGTGATGCATAATTTTTATTTTAAATAATTAATGAGACAGATTTGCTTACATACTCAAAGTTTTAAATATCAATTGAGTTGAGATATATAATTTAATAAACCTATGAATTATTAACAAGTCAACTCATAACATATAGATTGATTTGCTCATAACTCGATAGTTGAGTTGGATCACTAGCCACAATGTTAAAACATCTCTTGAGCTCAAAGTGAGTTAACGCACAAGTTGAATTCAGTTACCCATCCAATCGAGTTGACTCACAAATTTTGCAAGCTCAACAAGAATTAACTCAAATTCGACTCGTTAGTAAACAAATGGAGTTTCAAATGAGATTTTTCCAAACCAAGCATATAATCTCTCATAAACATCAACTCATTTGTACCCCTACTTCAACCTTAACTCCGCCATTGGTGCAATTGTATTTGCAATTGCATTTTTTTTATTGTTACTTCATTATTTTTTGCAATCCAACTCATCTTACTTGCATTGCACCACATCAATGCAATTATCTTGCAATTGCAACTTTTTTTTTAATTTAATTTATTAAAACATAAACACTCAAGTAATAAAATTAATGAATAATTTAATAATAAAAAAATGATGTGGCTTTTTTTTATGAAAAGATGACGTGGCTTGCATTCCATAATTGCATTATATGCAAGCTTGCAAAGATGCAATTGTCATCTTTTTTTTCCCCAAGAAATGTCAAGAGAGAAAAAACTATACAATCTACCCCAAAACCCTCCCAAACCAATACATCAGTGAAGCCACCCTACAAAGTTGAAGGAACCGATCTCAAGAGGAGAAAGTAACAGGACTTACTACGCCACTCTATGGGCAGCCCCGTTAGCAGTTCTAGCTAAGGAAACAAAAACTGAAGACAGGAGCTGGAAGCAATCACGTATCACCGGACCTCCGAGGGAATCTGAAGAAATGCCTTGGCAAAGCTGATGAATCACGACTTCTGAATCACCTTCGATGATGACACAAGGAAGGGACTTGGAGACCAAGAGGTAGATAGCAATTGTCATCTACATTAATGCAATTGCATAATGCAATTCCAAATGCAATTCCAATGGGATGCCATATCATTCACACAACAGAATGGAAGGAAAATAAAAACGAAATAAACCCTTATGCACTTGGCGGGCCCGTGGCGTAGCTACCCACAATAAACTCAGGGACCCATTTATACTCTTCCAGCAATAAAACCTACCAGCCCAAGAATAAGCCATAATTAATTACGCTCATTAACCAGAGGGCCCACCCATGAGGCCCACTATCATTATCTCTATGCCATTGGATTAAACACCGTTATCCCTGAGCAAATTAGTAGAGGTGGGCAACGGACCCGTCCCGTTTGAAACGGGTATCCTATTTCATTTAGAGAGCAATCTTTTTCCCATATCCTAAACTCGTATGGTTAACGGGTACCCGTACTACCCGTAAATACCTGTCAATTGGTGGAAGACCCCTATCTTCTTATCATCTTCTTGCTACTTCCCTTTCCTTTCCTTCTTGAGCCCCTCGGCAGAACCCCAAACCCCTCCCAACCCTCTGCTTTCCTTCCCACTACTTTCTTCCCCCATCGCTTCTCTTGCCTCCGAGGTTTCTTTTGTTCCCAATTCTTGGAACCCGGATGAACCTCCTAGCCCCAACCGAATTAGGTCTACCCCTTCTAGCCCTTCCAGCCCTCCCATCAGTCCCGACCTGAGCCTATTTTTAGCTCTAGACCTGCCATCGCCATCCTGTGTGGCGGACTCATGTGGACAGAGTTGGGACATGGAGCGTTACCCTTTCGACGTTCAATCATTAATGGAGACGAGCTTAGACTTGGCAAGGTTGTTTAATCTAAGGCTGTCAACCGGTCGGTTTCGGTTTAATCAAAAACCGAAAACCCGGTTATCGGTTAAACCGAACCACCCCCTAGAGCTGCCGACCACCGACCGTGAGAGTGTCACGGTTAGCCGGCCAACCGACCGGTCGGTTTCGGTTTAATGCTTGGTTAGCCGGCCAACCGGAAAATACCTTTTCTAATAATAAAAAAAAAACTTAAAAGAAACAAAAAATCTGGACCACTTACTCACTTCTCGATTCTTCTTCTTCCTTTCTTCTCGATTCTTCTTTCTTCCTTTCAAGAGAAACCCTTGCTCTCCCTACACACTCCCTTCTCTCTCTCGATTATCTCCTTCCTTTCCAGAGAAAGGAAAATCGCCTCCCTCCTCACAAGTCACATCTGTGGAAAATCGCCTCCCTCCCTCGATTATCTCCTAACCTCTCTCTCTCTCTCTCTCTCTGCTCTTTCTCACTCTCCCTCGTCTTACCCAGAAGATGAGGCCATCGGCGACCTTCTAAAAAAGTCCTCCCTCGAGACTCTCCGGCTGTCGAGATGGATTTTCCGAGCTCCAGCGTCTCCCGAGTTCATCTCGTTGACGAGATTGGAACTGAGTGCGTGCAGTTTCCACGGCGGCGGCGGCGGCGGATGAGGCTGCTGCGGCGGCCCAGAGCTTCCCTAGTCTCCGCGAATCCGTCACCGCGAAGCCCTCCTCCCGGGTTCTCCAGTTACGGCCGCCGGTGGCGGGTCGTGGGGTGCTGGTGGCTGTGATTACGATGATGAACGGTGGCCCTCCTCACTGTAGATCTGCTTCTTCTTCTTCTTCTTCTTCTTCTTCTTCCTGTATTTGGGATTTTTTATTTATTTAAGATTTGGGAATGGGGATGAATCTTGACATATTTTGGGGAAGGTGAAGTGGGTCTCGGTTGGCCCGGTTAGTCGGATAACCGCGGTTAATTACTGTCGGTTACTCGGTCAACCGACCCCTTTCTTTTCCCATCCGACCACCGACCGTCAAAGTAACCGGTCGGTTTTCGGTTAGCTGGCAACCGGCGGTTTTCGGTTAAAACCGGCGGTTACCCGCTAACTGCAAACCGAAATGCCAGCCCTAGTTTAATCTAGCACAAGATGAGGGACCGGATGTTACCAAAAGTATTATAACTTTGAAAGCTGCTGATAGAGCAATAATCACACATGTTTTTACCCCTATTCTTGAGCCGTTTGAGATGTTGATTCTCGTGTTTTAGGCCGATTTCACGCTAGGTTGTGCTTGTTTGTGATATTTCAGGTCCTAGTACGTGAATGAAGGTTTGGGAACAAGTTCGAGGTCCAAGCTAATTTAGGATATTTCAGGTCTATTGTTAGGAGTTGTGTCATAGCGTGTCAAGTTTTTGGCGCCGTTGCCGGGGACTTTCTAGATTATTAGGAAAAGCAGAAGTTTGTTACTTTAGCGTTTTTTCATTTCTTTTCCACCCTTGCTTTTCACTTGGGTGTTTTTGTTTTTGTTGGTGCAGATTTGAAGTATGGATCCTCATGGCTTCTCCAATCATTGGGGGTATCCACCACCATCCGAGTGGTATTACCCCGAGACTCTCTGGAGCAATCAAGGAGGAGAAGACTATGGATTCGGGTTCCAGTACCAACCCCCTTACTACGGAGAACAATCAGACCCATGGGCATATCAAGAACAACCTCATTACCAAGAAGACTTTCTCCCACAACCAGAAGGGCCATCAGAGCTGGATTTAGCCATGGAGGCCTTCACGGGCCACTCTGCAGAGCCATGATACACTTCACTGGAAGATCCGAACAAACAATTAAGGCTTCTCGTGGAGCAGTTTGCTCGAGACACTGAGAGATCATGCTCCAAGATGGATCTTCAAATCAAAGCCCTTGCCCCTTCCGATCCCTCATTTCTCCATGAAATGGAGGAGACTGTTCAGCGCTCAGCGAAGCAAACAGAGTGGGTGGAGCAAGTTTGCTCACATCTTGCTCAAGATCACCTTTCTGCTACTACGCTAGAAGAGGTGAAGGATGACAAAGGCTACGGGGATGTTGAGGAGCATACAGAAGTTATCACAGAGAACTCCCATGATAATCATGATCAGGAAAGTCCTCTGGTTGCAGATCACACATTTCCTTATTTCTGCTCTAACATGCTGGGCCCGAGCGAGGAGATGCAAGATGATCTCATTGAAGAAATTACCTGGCGACTTGGTCTCCAATCTGTGCTAGAATAAGAAGAGCAAGAAAGGGTGCAGAAAGAAGTTGTGGAGGATGACGAAAGTGAAGCAGGAGGAGTTCTTGATCATTTCCCAGGGGTGATACCACATGAAGAAGAAAGGGGGGTTGAAGAAGCAATTGGCGTCCAGGCTGAGGACGAAGTTAAGGTGGAAGAGGCCTGCACCGGCCATGAGTTACATGTGATATCTCCACCAAACTTCGAGGAGCTGCTTGGCAATGACCCATTTGCAGTGTCTCTTTGCCAGACCAATGCCACGTCAACATCGGTCCCCCTTGATGGAAGCGATGGTGGCCAATCAATGCTGTCATATCTGGTTTGGGGCAATGAGACGAAAGAAGAGAAGAAGAGGTCTCGAGGGTGGAGACTTCATCTGCATCAAGTGCATGAGCCTTCATCACCTGCCACACCACATGCTCGTGACTTGAGACTCCACCTCATCGACGAGAACCTCAACTTCAAGTAGGTTTTGGGGTGGACCGAAACTTAGGAGCCATCGTCCGGCTCACGACGTGAAAGAAGCGCTTGTTGGGAGGCAACCCAACCAGTCGGTTTGCATTTCTTTCTCTATTTCTCCTCGGTTGAGTCAGTTTTGTTATTTGATTTTAGAGTCAATAACTCAACCTTTGTGAGATTTTGTGGTGTTTGTGTTCCGACTACGCTCTCCTCCTGGAATGCACCGCCTGCCTCGTCCACCATCATTCACCCTTGATCTGGTAACTTCGTTCTACCCTCCTTATCTTTCCTCCATTGAGGACAATGTCGTGCTTAAGTGTGGGGGGATGTTCGATTATGTATGCGGGTGAATGTTTGGCTGTTTGTGTGCTTGGAGCCTAGTCCACTGTCCAAATTTTTAAATTTGAGGGCTCCAAGTACGTGTTTCCTTGCAAATTGCCTGCTCACTATGCTTTGAATTGACAGTCTCTATAGTAATGTGCAACCTAGGGAGGTAGTGTAGCACTTTGGAGGATGTTGAAGTATAAGATTTTTCCTATCTAGCTCTCTGCTATGCCAGTTGATTTTGTGAATTAGTGGAGCTAAGACCGTTGAATTCATGTGGTAATGGTGACTCTGTTTGGATTGTGTTATGGACTCGTGTATCGAACAGGATGCTCAAGTGTGAAATGAAAAAGCAGTTGGTCCTCTATGTCAAAATCATTAAATCTTAAACATGGGGTAAGCCCAACGTGTGCGGCACCGCTCATTGCACAAAATCGGGTTTTGGAGGAGATTTTAGTGTTCCTTAGTGGGGTACTCCTACAAGGTGAAGCTAAGCTGTCTTCAGTACAAGTAAACTTCCACCCGTTGAGCGGTTTGCCTACTTGAGGATGTGTTTTTAAGGGCACGGATAGAGCTTCCGACCCCCCTTAATTTCATTAACCCTCCACACAATTTGACGAAAAGGAGTTAAAAGAAGTACTCTGGCGATCTCCAGATGTACAGAAATTGCTCTTGCTCGACTAATAAGGGTCGACCGTGCAAAAGACTGCAGTTGGAACCCCCACCAAGTGAATAAAAAGAAAAAAAAGTAAAATGAAAGTGAAAAAGGGGTTCCAACGGTGAAATGAAGTGAAATATCACCCCGGTACAACGAGTCCTTGGTTGTGAATGTTGTGAGTCCCTTTATCCATGAACTGACTGTCCTACTTCTACTTCTTCTCATGATCCTGGCTTGAGTCTAGTACTCGCATTGAGAGAGATAAGGGACGTCTTAGAAGACCAGTTGACCTCGTAAGCTGCTTTATGATCTAGAAAATCCTCTACTGATGATCGGGGTTGTTTGTTGCTATAGAGGTCTGGAGAGCAGCATTGGTTTGAGTTAGGTTTGCTTGGGGACAAGCAAACGGTTAAGTGTGGGGGGAGTTTGATAGAGCAATAATTACACATATTTTTACCCCTATTCTTGAGCCGTTTGAGATGTTGATTCTCGTGTTTTAGGCCGATTTCACGCTAGGTTGTGCTTGTTTGTGATATTTCAGGTCCTAGTACGCGAATGAAGGTTTGGGAACGAGTTCGGGGTCGATTGGACGAAGTTTGGACGTTTTGCGAGAAGCTGGGAAGGCACACGGGCACCATTGCACCTCACACGGCCGTGTAGGGGCCCCTTGTGGCCGTGTGAAGGCTCAGTAAAAGCCACACGGACAGCCTGGGGAGCCACACGGTCGTGTGGCCTCTGCCCGTGCAGCTTGCCTGGTTGCCCACTAATCGAAACGCCCGTTTGGACACTCACACGGGAAGCTGGGAAAGTCACACGGCCATGTGGCCTGGCCGTGTGCTTTGGGAATTTGTGGTTTTAAGCCAATTTCGAGCCAAAGGAGAGAGAGAGCTGGGTTTTGGTTCCCGAACACCCAAGGGACGAACCCTAGAGAGAGAGAGCGACTTGGGAGCATTCTTGGAGCTATTTTGGAGGATTTCTTCGCCATTGGAGCTCGGGAATCAAGCTTGGAGATGGAGATTGAAGATCTAGATCAGATTTCTGCAGTCTCTCTCTTCTCTATGGAGTAACTTCCCTTCACTTAGGTTTTGAGGAACCCTAGTTCCATGTGTTAGGATCTTTCTTGTATGAAGTTTTGGATGCTATACTGTTTGATTATAATCGATTGAGGCATGATTTATAGAGTCAATTGAAGCCTGATCATCTTCTCTTGATTTCTGCTTTAACCTATGATAGATAGAATCTGATTAGGTTAAGAGAGCTTCTTGATTGATAGTGGTGAATTGGTTGTGCGAGAGTCAATCAATTCACTGCTTTGTACTGGAATTCATTCCAGTAGTGGAGATCTGTGTGAATCGCCTTAGCAGTCTATCCCGGTGAAGGCTAGTCGCCTGCCGGCTATTCGTCTAAGAGGGCTTGGTCAGCTTAAGAGATTCCAAGCTAATTTAGGATCTTCCGCAGTTTAATCAACAGTAGATCAACCAAAGGTAATTGCAACTTGGAACTAATTGAGGAGCTAGGGGGAATCATACCTAAGTGAGTTCCCAACTTGTAATTAGTAGAGTAGTTTAGTAAATCAATCCTTAATCTAGTTTGCTAGATAATGAAGTAAAGCTGAGTAATAGTAACTCTAGAGACCCGTGGATTCGATATTTATTACTTGTGCCACTATACTGCAGTCTCTTTCATTGGTTACACTTGGCCATTGTTAGGAGTTGTGTCATAGCGTGTCAGCTGCTAATATGCATAAAAGGAAAGTGAAGAGCTCAAGATCAAAACTTGATATGGAGATTCGCAGACTCGAACCATTGGAGCCCCCCTTAGATGGACCGAGGCAGTGCAAGAGAAGGTTGGTGGGGGATTCAGAGAGGTAAATTCATGGATTCTTCTGTTCTTATTTGGAATGTGAGAGGTCTTGGTGACTCGGACAAAAGAGACCGTGTCAAGCAGCTTATTAAACGCAGAAATCCTAGCATCGTGGGGCTTATCGAAACCAAATGGGAACGCTGCACTGAGAGAGATGTAAGAGGTTTGTGTGGTAGAATAAATTTTGGTTGGGCGTTTAAAGCTGCGCTGGGCAGCTCAGGTGGCATC